GGGAGGTCTTATATTTCGCAATTCAGCAAAATCTGTGCTAGGTCTTATTTTCTGCGGATGTCTTATTTTCGGGGAAACACGGTAGTAACAAATTTATACTGATGATAAAAGATATTTATTGTGAATTGATTAACATAAAATTTTTGTTTTTAATTTCTAATAAGAATTAGCTTTAACTATATTTTTTCACAAAATGGACTTGCCCCACTTTCAAAATCAACAGCTTATTTAATTCTTTTAATTCATATTGTCGTTTATACATGTTCCAATGATTCACATTAAAATGCATCATCCAGCAAATAATGGCTATTAAACATACAAATAATTTGGTACACACATATATTATTTCATAAATCTTATCAAAACTTAATATTAATGATAAGCAGTATGATTGTTCAATTCTTACTTAATTGTATTGTAAAAAAATACACAAAAAATCAAATTTTCTTTCCTTTCTGACTTACGGGGTGGATAACTTCCAAATTCTGAAACATTATAATCAATAATGAAATAAAATTAAAGTTAAAAAAGGTAAAAGTAAATCAACTTTGCAGAGAAAGAACACTTTATTACTTTGGTACATCCCCAAAAATGCATTTTGCCAACAATATTAGGTCTCTTCAGTAAAGTTTTCAGTACACAAATTAAACTCCGATAATTTTCCATCATGGGTTTCCATTATAAGTTTCTACTTATATATCTGACAAAAGTTTCCCAGCATGTAGCTGTTAACACACCCATATTTAAATTAACCAAATTTTTTTACATAATTATGGCAAAATGCTCTTTGACTTTTCTTTTTACATTACTTTTTTCTTTATAAACAATTTTTACATTATTAACATTAATAATACTACAATGATGAATTATTAATTTTTAGTCTTACAGCTGCTAAATGTTCCGATAATCTGGTCTTCAATTTTCTCTTCATTTCTCCAATATAGAAACTTGGAATACTATATGTGCACTCGAGTCTGTAGAAAATTTGATTTTTTATGTATTTTTCTACAATACAATTAAGTAAGAATTGAAAATTAATCTGACTCCATTGTTTTAAATAGTTATTTTTGAGTATGATTAAAACTTTTTACACAAAATAAAATAACAATCATCAATTTTCTTGAATCAGTACCAAGGGGTTTTCACTAGTGATGTAACGAATATTCAGTTACTATTCGGTATTCGGCCTATTTTTCACTATTCGGCCAAATACTGAATATTTAATCACTATTCGGCCGAATACCTAAAAACAGGAGTAAGAAATAACAAAAACACAGTAAATTAATCATTTTGGTGTTTAGATTTAATGTTATGGGGTTAGTGTTGTTTGTTTATATTTATTTATAACTTGTAACATGCACAAAATAAAAAAGAAAATAATATTAATCACATGTATTCACAATTTATAATTACAAAGATCAGCACACGTACTGNGAAAATGCCTTTAAAAATATATATATTAAATATCTATATATTTTTAAAGGGTAATTTTTTTTAAATTAAATCATGGTTCTCAACCTTTTCAAGAGTAAACATTTTATGTGACTGGAAGATTTAATTTAAAATGACTGATTGTTGAACTAACATTTTTATTGGAATGACACGGCTTATAATTGCTAATATCTAAATAAATTCAAACTTATCATTATAAATTTCTGATTAAAGTAAGTGAAAGTTTTGTAATGTTATTTATGTTTTGGGATATATTGATACTGATAACAATATGTGGCACCTGATTTTTACAATATGACCTTTGTCCCAACAGTTCCCAAACTGAGTCTTCTCTCAGAAAGTGTTCTACATAGCATGTACTTTCAGACTGTGCCATATTTTACAAGACTTTACAAAAGGATGAGGAAGATGTGTCTAGCAGAGTTAAGAAATAACAGGTGTGCATATTTTTCATGTCCAGTTGATTCTTTGTTCCTCCATCTCAAATACAGTATTAAATTCTGTATGAAGATAGGGAAACTTGCCTCTGAAACATGGTAATTTCTGCAAGTTGCCTACAGATGTGACACCCTGGAAAGTGCAGTCTGCAAGTGGCACAGGTGTTTCCACAAGGGAGAGAAGATGTTCGTGACAATACAAGATCTGGATGACTGTCAATGTTGCATACTAACAAAATTGCAAGGAATGTTCAGCAGTGTTTAGCTGAAAACTGGCAAGTAATGGTGCAAATGTTATCAGAAAATGTGGAAATTTCAAAAATATTGTGCAAACATTCTATCAAAAGGCCTGCAGAAATAAAAACTCAATATGAGAATTGAATTTCAGAACCTTACTCTTGAGCAAAAAGTTGAACATGTCAAGAACACATTTTCTGGAAACTGCCTGAAATGATATAACCCTACTGCACTGTATCATTACAACAGATGCAGATGAAACATAGTGTTACCAGTACAACCTGCAAACCAAATAACAAAGTGATGAATGTGTAGGCCTTGCATTGCGATAGCCAATGAAAACCCTTGAGACAGCAATCAAAGACCATTCCAGTTGCATTTTTTTTTTATGCCAGAGGTATTATGCATAAAATTTCATTCCTTGCCCATACAGTTAATCATGACTAATCTAATGATCTACAGCAATTACTGTTGAATGTCCATTGCCATTGCCCTGAACTGATACCAGACCCACTAGTGGTATCATATTCATGATGATGCAAGACTTCATACCACTTTATCACTGCAAGAGTTCTTGGCTGGAAAACAGATGAGTGTTTGTCCATCCCCTATTCATCTGCCTGACTTGTCCCTCTAACTTTTTTATAGTAGTAACTCTTGCTTTTTTCTTTTCAGCACATAATTCTTCTGAATAAGCTATTTACATCTGATGAGGGCCACTTAAGCAGCTGAAAATGTTCATCTGAAGTAATAAACTATGCACTGGAAAATAAAAAGTACTACTTTAATTATTGTTTCAACTTTTTTATTTCATCTGAAACGGTTCTTGTAAGTCAGGAGTTTTAACAGGGTTGATGATATCCAATGGCTGTGTACACACAACTCCATTATAGAAGAGCAGCTCTGTAACTCCCAGAGCTGCTTTGAAGATCTTCAACACCATTGGAACCACTGTACTCGACCCCCTATAATACTGTTGATAATTCCGTTTTATATGAATTCCACGTTGTACGAGTCACTTAGATTTTACAAATACGTGAGCCATTCACAGCCCGGTACATGTATTTGTAAAATCTAAGTGACTCGTACAACATGGAATTCATATAAAACGGAATTATCAACAGTGTTATAGGGGGATTGACTGTATCATTGCACAAGAAGGCTATTTCAATGGCCACAACCTAATAAGTTTCATTTGTTGTGCCTCCCATATCCTCCCTACTCACCGGACCTTGCCCCGTGATTTTCACCTTTTTCCTAAGATGGCATTCATCTACACTCACGAAAGGCAGAAAATTCAACAGTTTCAATGATGTGATTGCTGCTGCAAAAAGTACTATGTGCCTGGTTGCAAATGAGGGGTTCCAGAACGTGTTCCAATTATTGTATAACCACTGTATGAAATGTGTTGCTGCAGAAGGCCAATACTTTTACTTTGAGGGTAATGTCATCTCAATGTGTAGTTTTATTCACTAAGAAAATAAATAACTTTTTCACAGTTTTTGAAACTAATTTGTATATATCATATGTATCATAAAAATGAATATTCATTAGTATATTCTGTTTTATCTTCAATTTTGTATTTGAATATTTAAATTTGTTCTTAAGCCTGATTGAAATTATATGGTTAAACTAGTTGGAAAGTTGCTAATTCTCTCTCACTGATAACTCTCTAATAAAAGACTTTTTATTTTAACAACTGCCAACAAAGAATTTGAGTTTCTAACAAACATTGAAAATTAGTTTCATTTTTTTTATATTCAGAGATCCAACTAAATTAAACTCATCTTGCTTACAGAAATCAAAATTTTATTTCCTAAAAATTTCTTAACAGCTGTTTTTTTCTTCTATTATTTGATTATTGTATTAGCCATTTTTTTTTTAAAACATGTTTTAGGAATTAAAATTTTCTGACTTCTATAAAAAAATAAAAACAAGTTCAAACTGAACAATTTTAATTGAAATTTAAAATGATTAGAAACTTACATTATTTATTTCTCTTTGCAGATCTTTTTGCATCGTTGGCAATACCTATTATATTTGGGATAGTCACGACAATTTTTTCTTGGATGATAGTATTTTTTGATAGTTTTATGCCCGGAATAAGTCCGCCGTCTCCATTATCTCCAAGCAAATATAGGTATACCAATTTTAAATTTTTCAAACTAAAAAGATTTGTAAAATTCCCTGTAACGAAAACAGTTACAAATCATTATTTATGATACTTAAGTTTTTCTTTTTCAGAAAGCAATCCGGACACAACTTTCATACTGCATACGTCATGGCATTAGCAAATGGCATAGCATGCTCCATTTTAATATCTTACTGGATTTAATTGCTTTCCATCTAATGAAATTTATATGTATTAATCAAGAATATGTGATTAATTTCATGTAATTCACCGTGCACTTTGTTTCTTTTACGGAACTGCATTCCAGATGCATTTCAATATTTTTTTTTGTTGTTGTTATATTGAATACATATTATTTATTTTTGTTATGCACTATAAGCTTTGGTTGTATGTAAACTTAGTCAAATCGCAGTATTAATTTAGTTACGCCGAGTATAATTGATAATAGATTTTCCATATCTTTATTTATTACAAAGTCATAAATACTCTTTATGTAACATGTAATTTTATACATAATGAACATGACTATTAAAATATTTATATTACAAGTTAATATCTACAGTAGTTATTGCTCAGAATCGTACATAGAATTAGTTGTAGTAGTTAATGTGTTTTTGCTGATAAAGGAAAGGTCGATAATTAGGGAAGTAAATTCACTTAAACTAATTCTAAAAGGAAGAAAAATGTAAATATTATATATTTTCTGAGTCTGTGATGATTATTTTGCTATAATATAATAAAATATGTTTGTAAGAATAAAAAATAAAATATTTTGAAAAAATTTAAATGGAAAAATTTTTCCAAATTAAAACATTAATTTCTATCACGAGATTTATCTTTGAAAGTAAATTTTATGAGATCAACATCTATGTGCACTTCAGCTTTTTTGTGGAATCTGTAAGTGGCAGGTATGCCAAATTTAAATTCTTCGATAATTTCCATGTTAACTCCCCAGTCGTCTGCTTTCTTCTTAATGTGCTGAAATAAAAAAATAACTATATTATTTTAAATAATTTTTCTAAAAGAATGCAGTGCACTTCAACAATAATTTTAAATAACTTTGGTGATTATTAAAAAAATATTTTTTTATTATTGTTTTACAAATTTGAAATCATTGGTAGATATTGCTGCTGCTGATATATAATAAGGTACTGTATGTGTTAATGCTATCCAAGTCATATCTTTATATGTAAGAGAAGAATTTCTCATAATAGATGCACAATTAAACATGATTCATTAATAGAGAGGTTGAGGCCGAAGTTTTAAACGCGAAAACGTGTACGTCAGACGTTCAATGCCGCTTTCCTGTAAGCCCAGAAGTTTGACAATGGTATTTGGATAGTCAGTGGACTCGTGCTCAACATTCCAAACACCATTGTCAAACTTCTAGGCTTACAGGAAAGCGGCACTGAACGTCCGACGTACACGTTTTCACGTTTAAAACTTCGGCCTCAACCTCACTAATCTTACTTGTACACAATAAAACTATGATGAAAATATAAAAGATTTTATAAATTGTTTTCATAAGTTAATAAGTGTAATGGTAAGATTTATGAAATATTTGTATCTTTACAATGTTACATAAATCTTTTAAGTAAATATAATGGTGCTAAAATTCATTGGGACTAGGTAAGTTTAATAAATTTCACGTAACCAATGATACACAAAATTCATATAATTGCATCATACATATTGCAATTAATGGTACCATTAGTGTACACTTGATCGCAATAAATATGAAAATAGAATTCTTTTAAATATCATCTAAGTAATTTTTAATCTTTGACTTTTCCAGTAATTGTGATGAGGAATCCAAAAATATAATAAAAAAAATGGGGGTCCATGACTTCGTTTTCGAGATGTAAGATCGTAGTATAAGCATGTGCAACAAAGCAATACACACAAATTGCTTGATGTGGACTTACAGAATTGAGTTCATTCTCAAAATTGAATTCATTCAAAATTGAATGGGTTGATTTTGATAAAACCTTGCCTTTTTCATTATGATGAGGAATCCAAAACTGTAATAAAAGTCCATTTAAATGTAAAAAAATAGGAGTCTGTGACTTAGTTTTAGGTATACAAAGATATTAAAGTGACAATATTTGTGCTCTCTGATGCAACCCAAGCACACCTAACGGAATTTAAACCTAGGTGTCAAAAATAAAAACAGCATTGCTTGCACCTATTGGAAAATATGCAGAAAAATGAATAAAACACAAGATTAAAGAAAATCTGTAGTGATTGCTTTATTCTTGAGTTGCCTCTCTGTATCTAGCCAGTTCAAGAATCATCTCTTCTGTGGCCAGCAGTTTCAAGGATAGCCTCTTTTGTGGCAGAGAGTGCAAAATTCACCTGTTTGCATCCTTCAGGTACAAGGATCACTTCTGGCTCCATCTCAATTTTATTGCAATATGATAGTCATGTAATGACCTAGTTTTTAGAGTTGAATAAAATGCTTTTAACCTACATACTGTATATTGTTCACCTCAAAAATATTAATAGGTATATTTTTAAAACAAATGACTACTCGATAAAATATCAGTTAATTATGGATTAGCATATATTGTATATGTGTAATAACATTTTCTTATAAGTAGTGTGGAGAGTTACAATTGTTTTTGTTTAGTTATTGAGTTGCAATTTGAAAAATTTGTACATCTATAAATTTCCACTGTTGTCCAACTGTCCGTCCTTCCTTAATCTCAAGAATGAAGTTAGAAAGAGGAAAGCTGAGACCAGACATGGAAAGCTTAAGAGAAAGAGGCTCCGATTAACTGTATGAAAACTTCCGAAGCACACCAGAAGTCATGTTATTTCAATTCAAAAATTTTTCCTGAAAGATGTTAGATAACTGGCATGACTTGATTACTAAAGGAAAAGTATGATGTACAGGGGCAAGACACTACTAATTTGAACAACATATATTTTATGTTAAATAAATTTAAAAATACAGTGGTACCTCGGTATACGTCTGCTTTAGAATACGTCCAATTCGGAATACGTTCTGTTTGGACGAAACAAATTTTGCTCAGTATATGACTTTTGTTCGGTATACAACTTAATTCAATTATACGTGCCATCTATGAACAGGTAGCACTATCGGTGTACTAGACCTGACTAGACATTCGCAGTGCCACAGTTTATAACTTTGTTAAATTTCTTCTGATTTTAATTTGTAATTAAAATGTTATTATTTTTATTAATCATGAATTGCAAAAAGGCAAGTGAAAAGCAACAGAAAACTAAAAGAATGACTAGAATCACAATGGAACTGAAAAAAGAGATCGTTGAGGAATACGAAGGTGGTATGCTTGTTCGAGATTTAACTGTTGCATACCGTATTCCAAGAACGACGATATCGACAATCATGAAAAATAAAGGCATTATTAAATCTGCTAACATTGCGAAAGGAGTTAAATCAATTTCTAAACAGAGATCAAAGACATTAGATCATGTTGAGAAATTGCTTTTGCTTTGGATAACTGAAAAACAGTGTGCTGGCGACATCGTATTGGAAGCAATTATTTGTGAGAAAGCTAAAAAGATACATGCTGATCTCATAAAAAATCAAGCAGGAACTAGCCAGGAAAGCCAGGTGTTTAAAGCCAGCAATTTTTTTTCATGAGAACGGATTAATCATTTTTATATTACTTCTTATGGGAAAGGTTGCTTTGGTATACGTCCTATTCGGTATAAGTCCAAACATTAGGAACGGATTAAGGTCATATACCAAGGTTCCACTGTATGATTAAAAATTGCAGCCTTGCATTGTGATGTCACAATAAAATAATTGCTCATTTATATTTGTATTTTTCCCATGATTTTACATTTATAGTTTTAAATATTTAAAAGTATAGAACAGTTTTTCTTTCAATTAGGTATTTGAGCCATTGATTTTGAAAATAGGGCAAGTGCATTTTATGTTATTGCTAGATATTTAATGGTAAGCAGTAATAAACTTATTTTATATTTTTTGTGGACTTATTTCATGCAAATTTAATATTCGATAATGGTTATCCGCATTAGGTGAAAAAAATCATGGTTTTGGTATGTGCCAATGAACTTGCCTAACTTTCAAAAGCAATGATTTTTGAAAATGTTGCTTTTCTTTGAATGGAATATAATTGTAATAACAAAAAATTGAATATTTTATTTCAACATTTCATACTTCTTTCAAAAAGCTATAATAAAACAAAAATAAATTTAATTTTATAGGAAAAAGTGGAGATAATAAGAAAAAATATTCAGCAATAAGTTGCATGCATATAATTATATTTAAAAATTTGCACCATCTACACTAAGAAACTGTTCGTGATGAATGGGTGGTACATAGCGTAATAAATCCATTATATTTTTCTTTAGTAATAGGCCTAGTTTTTGCATTTAAAGATGATAATACTTTTTTTTTTTTTTTTAAACTATTTGGCCTACCCTGTTTTGGTGATAAATCAAGAGTTTTAAATTGTGAATCTTTTTCCATCAATGTTTTATAAAACAATTTATAAGGCACATTTCTTGAAAATCCTATCCAGAAAATATTCAACCAATTGACAGTTTCTCCATCATCATATTTTGTTCTTTTCAAAATTGCCTCCTCCAGAGGTTTGATTGAATAGAAGTCTTCACTTTTCATTTCATGTACTGAAAATGCATTATGTTTGTGACATTTTTGTTTTAATTTGTAATAATCCTGGGCAACAGAGAGCAATGATCCTGCACTGTTGTTATTTAGAGTGGACTTGCCTCACTTTCAAAATCAACTCACAATAAATATCGTTGACAATATAAATTACTACCGTGTTTCCCCGAAAATAAGACAGTGTCTTATATTAATTTTTGCTCTGAAAAAGGGCCTAGGTCTTATTTTTAGGGAATGTCTTATTTTTTCCAGGAATAAGGATTCACATTCGTTATTAAACAAAAAAATTCCTAAGTCGAACTTAGACGAGAGTGACGTACATCCGGTGTGTCGAACTGTCGCCTTTTTATAGCGTCAACATCAGACTCGATGACCAATTAGTGCTTACTGAACTGTAGCACTATGCAAATGTAATTTCGCGTGATTCCCGGCCGACCAATTAGCCATCACTAGCTGTAACGTTATGCAAATCTGTGATTCCCAAGCCATAGTCTTATGCAAATCATGCCGCGTGGCGTAATTGTCTGCTGACCAATCAGTGGCTGTACTTTGAAAAAGCCAACGGCCACTTTCAACCATCTGTCGATGACCGTTACGACTAANTATATATATATATATACTTAAGATAAAATTTATAAAAAGCTTATATCAGAAAAGGAATGAAACAAAGTTATAATCATTTCAATGATAAAAATGAATTAGATCTTTTGTCATTGTAAATTTTATTAAACAATGTACTTTAGTTAGTTTTTACAAATCTCAAATCCTGAAATTAAATATACAGTATATCCTACCTCTCTGGTAGATGTTTTGTGCATACTGTAGACAGCTGTTTTGGCTAAACCCAAGGCAGTTTTTAAAAATATCATATCAATTCCTAAAAAATTATCAAATTTCTATGTTAAAAATTATCAAAATTAATATTATAAACTATACTATAAACTATTAATAAAATATGTACCGTATTTACTTGCATATAGGACGAGGTGTGACTTTAAAGATCAAAATAAAGAAAATTACATTTATTAATACAATTCTAATTTTATTTTGTTTAATCACAAATAAAATATCAAACGTAAATGCACACATTGTCTCACAAAAATTACTGGCATTTTAAACTTTAAGGAAAAATCTTGTAAAATCAACAACATAATTTGTTAATGTAAAGCTGGACAATCAAGAACATATTTTTGCCAATTCTTAACAGTCAAATCCCCTCTCCATCGATTACACTTATGAGTTTCTCCAAATTCTGATTTCTGAATAATCATCTGTTTTCACATGGGAATGGATTAAAACTTATATCAGGCTCCTGTGTAATTTTGGAATTTCAATCTGGATTTAATTCAAAAGCTTTGCTTTTCATATTGCTATTCATCTTTACTCCTGACAATATATAAGAACGATTCAAACAACCCAGATAAAATACTTATGTTTTTAAATACAAGAGGGTAAGCATCTGGTAAAAAATGCAAATACACAGTTCACAAAAATTATTTGCAAAAAACGCAAAGAATCTTTTGCTCGTGCGTATAGGATAACCTAGGAATTTGAAGCCGTGATAAATGAATAAAAACATTGTCTTATATGCGATTAAATACAGTAGTTAAATTTTGTATAATTATAAACAAAAGTGAAATTTAATTAATATGATTTTCTCAAAAGCTTTCTTGAATTTATCAAAATATAAATTTACCTTTAGGTAGAAATGCAGCTCTGAATGAGGCAGTTGGGACCTTATCAGAGCTGTAGAACATGCCTCTAGGAGTAAAAAAGTCAAAGGAACTCATGGTTTACATATGGTCCTTTGCAAGATATAGCCTCCCAGAAATAAGCCCATTTGGAATTTTGAAGACCTTCCAAAAAGCAGTAAAATTTAAAAGTGAAAACAAAAAAAATCCGGAACTATTTTTCTAAACAATGCTAAAAATCAACTATTTTCCTTTTTAATGAACAGCTAAAGCTCTGACATGTAATAACAGACAGGGGTCTAATATGGGAGCTGCAAAAAAGTCTAGAAGAGCCACAGTTTGGCCACCATGGCTATATACCATTGTTATACTATTACTACACTATCTCTCACAAAGGGTCGTATGTAGAACATTCTTCCATTCAGTTTTCTACCGCTACAGAATAATCTACAGCTCCAATAAAGTCCCAACTGCCTTGTTCGGAGCTGAATTTCTACCAGTATTTTTATATGTCTACATCAATTATGGCATAACATTTGCATTTGAAAGTTTTGCTCGGAAAACTTAACACAAAGAAATCAAATGAAAGCCGAGTTATTACCTTTCCGTTTTTTTGTACCAAATGGAGGATTCATGACGACCGTATCAAAAACTTTAGACCAGCGCGAATCTGCAAGATGTACCACATCCATCTGAATGAGATCGACGTTTGTCACCTCCAATTTTTCACAATTTGCCAAACACACCGACAATGCTTCGTCATCTACATCCACTCCTATACATATGCTGAAAGGAAAGAGCACCCAATAAGATCAATTAATGTGTTGTATTCAGCATTTATATCAAATAACTTTAGGCTATTTCCTAGCGTGTACTCGAGATAAAAGATGAAATATATTGATTTAAAACGTTTGGCCAAGACTAGGAACTTACTCTGCTCCAAGTAGGGATGCTCCAATCGCTAATATACCACATCCGCATCCGAGATCCGCAACCGCATTGCCCAAACCGGAGGCAGTGTGAATCATATAAAGCATTTTTGCTAAATATAAAAGACGATTGTTAAAAATCAAATTTAAAAAAAATCTACGTACTCCTATTCATCTCTACGGTTAAACTGACAACCTGCTATGTCAGCCGGTGTTGTATATTGTTCCAACTGATATTTCGATTTATGAAATGTTTCCATCTGCTGCAATACGCTTTTTAATTCTTTAAGCTTCATGTTTATAAGAAAATAATACAAAATAACCTTTTATAAATCAGCAATTCAAAAAACCTGCATCCTCGACCGATTAAGTGTGACGTCAGCGCAGACTAGCGTAGAAACACAAGAATACAATGAAATCACGTGGTCGGATTCTTTTTCCGTACGATTTTATTTTTCGATTCCATTTCTTTTAAAATTAACGGAAAATGTCGTTGGAAAGCGAAAGGATTTGGTCTGTATTAAAGGAAACTGTGACAAAGTTGTACGTCGTTGCTTATTTTAGACGCATACACGGCTACATGAAATTATATTCCCAAGCATGGAGTTTAAATATCGATTTAAACGATATACCAGAAGATATCAGAGTAATTTATGACGAAATTCATAATTATTGGCTAGAAACAGAAGGCGAAATTCATCACTCGATGAGAAATCCCGAGAAAGACAGCGAATTTATTAAAGATATCAGAAAAATATACAGCCAGCTGCCGGTGCATAGCGATTTCATTAAGCGACTGATCGATTCCGCCTCCTCTTTGTCGGATAATTTTGGCAATCTTTATTGTTTTTGTCAGAAATTTCACGCACTAGTCGATTTATTCAAAGAACGGGTTATGAAAACACCGGAGAAGACGGCCGAGGAACGTTGGCAAATGGTTAACTTGAAGGAAAACATCGGAAAATATACAATTGCTATAGAACAGGAAAGGGATAAGTTAGATTACTTATTGGAAGATCTAAATAGGAAATTGAAAGAAACAGAACACGTTCTATGTAGAGTAAAGAGCGAGATAGACTTTGCCGAAAGAGTCGGGCAAGCAGAAATCTTCAGAACAGTCAAGCTAAGTAGAAAAACGATCGACGACATATATACCACCTATTTACTCGAGTGCGAAGAGATCGATGACGAAATTAAATTGATTAATAAGAAATTAGAAGAGTCGAGAACGGCACACAACACAATGGAAGTTCAGCGGAGGAGGAAGAAGCAACTTATGGAGTGTGGTTTAAAAGAAGAAATCGAAAGATTCGACAAAATTATGTTTCAGAAGGAAAGCCAGTGTGCTAGATATCAGAGAGAGATAGATAGGATTAGAAACGATTGCAAGACTATCAACGCCAAAATCGATCCCATTGAAGAGGAGTATCGGATGGTGATCGCAAGAAGAGACGACGAAGCCGCGAATATGAAAAATAAGATGAGAGAGAATGTGGCTGCTATACTTATTCAGACAGCTTCTAAAAATTATTTACAAAGAAAATCCTTCACGAAAAAGAAAACAAAACGTAAAAAAAAGAAGAATCTTTAAGAGTGACTGAAAGAAAAATCTGATAATATGCAATGTATAATAATTCGAATATTTATAAGAAAGAAAATAAAATTTATAAACGTGTTTTTCTAGATACAATATTTTTATTTAAAAGAAATTTTGTTTCAAAATAACGTTAAATGTGTTATTTTTTAAATAATAATAGTTAATTGGCAACACTTAACTTTAGTAGTTGTGTTTCTGTTATTTCTGTAAGTCGGTGTTACGAGGCCATGTTTTCTGTTAATGATAAATCTTCTGTGACGTCTGCGAAGAAAGTTGAGTGTAAGTTTTGTTGCAGGGAGGCGAAATATACTTGTCCTCGCTGTAACTGTAACTATTGTAGTGTTAAGTGTTATAAGTGCAACGAGCACGTGCAATGCAGCGAAGAGTTTTACAAAGCATGGGTGATGACAGAGATGAAAAATAGAAAAGAATGTGCTGATACCAAATTAGAAATGTTAAAAACTTTAAAACGGTTGCATGAAGAAGAAAGAGAAGAAGATGATGATGATGATCTTGAAAATAAAATTAATTTTATTCAAAATTCTGATAACTTAAAAGAGGAAGATCTCTGGAAGTTTCTAACCAAAGATGAAAAAGACAGATTTCAAGAAATAGTTAATAGTGACGAGGTAGAAACTATTTTGCCAGTTTGGAACCCTTGGTGGAATATAAGAAAACCACGCGTTCAAGAGCTATGTTCTAGCGAAGATAGACAGCTAGATATCCAACCGTTAAGTCGGTTAACGTCTCGTCTTCCTTCAGAATGTATAAAATATAATCTGGTAAATGTTGTGTATAGTTATGTTTATGTAGCCAAAAAGTATAATGGTGATTATTGTGATTTTCCTGCAGAGACAGTTGGTGCTATTTTATACCTTTCACCTGTGTTATATACCAATGCAAATTTTAATAATGTAAGCGAGGCAGTACAATACTGTATCCAGAAACTATGCATAGGAAATGGCGACTTCTTTTTGGTACGAGAAGCGGCAGTGGAATTATTAAAAGATGTGTCGTCGATATTCGAAAGTATAGACCCGTGCGTGCCCGAGAAATCCGTGATAAATAGCTTATCGGATGTGATTAAATTATTCAGAGAAGTGAAAAAATGCTCGGGTCATTTCAAAAATAAAAGCAAAGTGTTAATCGAGAAAGAAAAATTAAAAAAATCCATTAAAAAATTGGAATATTTTATTAGCTGGAGTGTGGAGTATAATACATGTTTTCAGCAGCTTATTTCCGAGTTGGAGATAGAATATATATCTTCGGTTGAAAACACATTACCATGTGTTAAAATAGAAAGGAAGAAAACAGCAATAATAGAGGAATTAACATAAATTGTGCATAACTTACTGTTTGAAGATTATATATAATTTATTTTTAGAAATAAGTTTATTAAATTTATTGTATTTGATTTTACAAAGTATCTAAGCTTTACATGCATATGTATATAAATTCTGAAATATAAAATTTTAATAAACAATGCAAAATGTTCTAAAAAAATGTGTGTTTGTACACACACACACAAATAATTGTTCATGCAGTCAATATTTTAAATATAACTTACAAGCGGTAAAGTATCTTTGAACAAACTTTAAAAGTAAAAATTTTATATAGAAAGATTCTAGTCAAAATAACATGGTTTTTATAAAATACTTACATAAATATGCAAACTTAAAAAAAAACATGCAGAAAAAATTTAATAATCACATCCATGCATTTTTGATATCATAGGCATCATACGTAAGAATATATGACAGAGAGCAATGTTACAAGATTTTTATAAAAAAGTAGGCAAAGTATTTTAATATAAAAAGTGCACAAGTTTATTCTCTGTGTTATATATTAATTTAAATTTGTTCACATTAGGATTCCATATGCTATTACTGGTTTAAAATATGGATGTAGTATATTTCACATAGGCTGTATATAGAATTTTGTTTTAATACAAAATGTTCCATTGTATTATAATTCTTGATAGAACAAAATTTAAAATATTTAGAACTTTTGTATGTCCTGTTCTTAATTTCATACACATTCTTAATCATAATTAAGTTGTAAGTTGAAGATAGATGTTTGGTCAAAAATTTTAATAAAACTATTGTCTATCTGTACTAAATAATTTTGTTTCCTTATATATTCTAATTCAATTAATTTGAATTTAGTTATTTGAAAAGAATTCAAATAAAATTAAGATTGTCCAACATACAGTGAATTTATTGGTGTATTTATTTTAATTAATAAAATAACATGTCTGACAGAATTTATCTAATATTTTAAAATAAAAAATATGAATTTATATGTTTTTATTAAACAATAATTTTACTATTCAAGGTTAATCAAGATCAGGAAAAAATATTTAAATGATTGTACTGATAAAATAGTATTTTTCTTCCATAGGAAATAAAAAGGATACCATTAGTTTTAATATATCTTAAACTTATTTCTTTTTAGTACAGTATTAAAAATTGAATTAAAAAAGATATATGACTAAGTAATAATTTTAATTATCTGAATAATAGCTTATTATAACATCACTTGTGTAAATTCTCATATAATTTAATTCATATGATAATGTACTTATTGCAAAATATAATTTTTTGATATTCATCTACTGTTTGCTTTAATAAAAAACTTAATTTGTATGATTTAAATTTTTAATACATTTTCCTTTTTTTTATGAATTTTTCATAAATAACTTTCCCGTGGGGCCGTCCATATATTGGGTGGTTACAAATGAAATGACGTTTTCTAAACTTTAAACTTTCCTACCTTGTAGTTTAATTGTTTTCCATGTAAACAGTGCTGTATGTTTGCAAGTGGAAGAGCACACGTATATGTAAAAAAATGTACACTCATTTATATTGTGAATTCCACATGTTTAAAGAGTACTTTTTCTGACGGTATGAAAAAACGGAAATTGAATAATTTTCTTTTACGAGTATAAGCAGAGACATAATGCAGCCGAAGCAATCCGAAATACCAATAAAACTTTTGGTAAGTTTTATTGGTATTTCGGATGATATATTTAAACTGTGAGTGAGTAAGCCACATGCATTGGTACAAAAAATTTCATTCCGGGAATACAAATCTCGAAAATCAGAATTGAAGAACATCACTTGACTGTCAGGGAAATTGCATTAATCAACCATTCTTCGACATCTAAACATGTTAGGGAGTTTCTTAACATTCCCTATCGATTAAAATTATTTAGCAGTAAATTTTCTGGCTTTGGCCGAAGCAAATTTTTTGGTCACGTCACTAAAATTTGTTTGCTTAAGCCCTGGTCACACTATGCGATTTCTAGCCGCGCAGGCGACTGCAACTGCAACAAGCGCGAGTCGCGCGCGTCTTCTCGTGGTCACACATTGTTTGTTGACGTTGCAACTCGGAAACACGTGGNGTGACAGCGGGCCAATAGAGAGCAGGATCCTTGCCATAATACGGTTCGTGCGCCAGTTTTTGTACGTGCGTTAATCAAGCCGAATAGTTTGGCTGAATATTCGGCTATTCGGCCACGCTCCTGGCCGAATATACTATTCGTTACAACACTAGTTTTCACCTGTGTAAATGAATAAATGCCAGTTAAGCACCTGAATGCTAATTCAAATAATAAAATAAAAAGTTTGCAAAATTTTCCCAATCAGATGCAACACCGCATGAGAAATGTGCAATTAGTACACTTCTCACATGATATGCACTTCTCCTTTAGTATGAAAATGATATCATAAAAACAGCTGTCTTCTTCTGACGTGTTGTAGTTTGTGATTTAGCATTTGGTAACATCTAAAGGCACAAAGTTTCATAGCAACAAATTCAGTTTTAAACTAAACTGTGGATTTTGTGGAAAATAATGGAAAAGCAGCAGCTGTCAGAAAATTTGAAGTTGATCCAAATTTTCTGTAGGAAGAATTCAAGAATGATATAACAATGAAACGAAGCTTTGACCTAGCATTGGATCTGGCACCTCCAAGAGAAGTTGATCAAGGAGGTGAAAGAAAAAATCTGAAAGTGAAGAAGTGGAGGAGAAAATAAAGAACTGGATAGATGAGATGCAAAGCAAATGGCATTTCATTTCAAGAAATTGTATATTGTATTGGAAAATGATTATGAAGAATGCCAATGTTGCATTCAATAATGGAACTGTTTGCAATTCAACTGTGGAGAACTTCAAAGTCAGTCATGGTTGGTTGCAGAATTTCCTGGCAAAGGACATCCTCTTGCACAATGAATGACCAAAAGTCAAAAAATTTCCCCACAAGTTCAAGACAAGTTGGAAAAGTTCATTCTGTTTGTCTGATTTCTGATTATACAGAAATACAAATTGAATGTAATTTGATGAACTTGCCTGTGACAATGACTTGAGCATTTCGGCTCATTTTGTGCTAATTTGAATGACAGAAAAATCCTGCTCTAGCAAAGTTTTGTGTGCATTGAAGAAAGTTGCCACCTTTAGAGACAAAGGTCTTTGTGAAGATAAAGAAATGATAAAAATCAAGAGAATTGAAATTGTGCTCAGCACAAATGGTTGGATGAACAGAGACTGACCATCAAATGGCTATACAAAGTCTGGGGTCAATTAGTATTTAAGCAACAGTTGCTGGTTTGGGATGCTCACAGATTCCATTTTGTGACTTCCACTAAGGCTGAACTAGCAAAGACCAATATTCAGCCTCATCCAAGCCACAGATGTTTGCTGGAACCACCTTTCAAGGATTGCTATTCTGAGAAGTACAAGAAATGGAATCTGGATGGCAAGAAGTTTTCCACTCCTACCAAGAACTAGCATTCTCCTGAAAGTAAAATTGTTCATTGGATGAAGATGTATGATTAGATTCCTGAAGAATGTTCTCAACAACTTGGAAAATGAAATGATCTCTTTTCTGAAAGGTGCTGACAGTCCTCTGAGCCATTATTAGGACAAAATAGGAGCTCCTGAATCAGTTTAGAGTATCGGAGATGGAGCGCCAAGAATATAAGGAAGATGAAAGAGAACAACAATCTTTGTGTGAGAAATTCAAATAGTGATTAGTCAGACTATTGAGAAAATAAAACAATAAGTTGAAGAAAACAATACTTTTTTTATTGATAATTTACAATATTACTAAAAATACTGGAAATTGCATTTATAATTTAGAAATGGGGCCCAACATTCTTTGTTTCTGAGTAATATTACCATACAAAAATAAAACAAAATATGGTAATCAAAATAATCAACAGCAAAAGTTATGCACTAGGCCTCAAATAAGAGCTGGGAATTTAGACCAGTGCTAATGTGTTCAAGCACTAATCTAGAAAATACAGTATTTAGTCTTATAACAATGTCGTCCATTTAAATATAAGTGAAAATAATAATCATTTCAGATTATATTTTTTTCAATTTTTAAAAATTTCAATCTGATCATCAAAAATACATGGTACAGTACATAGTGATAATGCAATTAACAAATATGCTGTTCCTAAACAGTATTTAGTTTCAAGTACTCAAGTTTAAAAAGGAACTAAAAAAAGCAAATAGATATTGAAATTGGTGATAAAATATCCATATTAAATGAAAATAGTGTATAATATACAATAAAAGAGATAAAAAATTTTGACTATTTCAGAGTCCAAGTAACAAGTATCAATAGTATCTGTTAACTATTATGTCAGTGGAATAATTATACCAATTTATTTATACCAACTATTGTCTGTAAAGTTGCACAATACTAACAACAGCACATGCTTATTCCTCACTATTTCACTCCTTATTTCACTTTTAAGCAATACAGAACTAGTACAAAAATGAGGAAACAAAAAAAGTTGATAACATGCATGCAAAACCATAATTATTGACAGCATATTTTGATTCACATTCACAATGTAACTGGAACAGTTTGAAATTAAGCAAAAGTAATACAAATTTAAAATAAAAGTAGCAATTGTAACATTATTTCAGTGCTTTTGTAGCCTTCACAAAAGCAAAAACAGACTACTGGTTAAAAAATGAAAAATCTGATTTTTGTTCCTGATGATTAGACATGAAGAAAGGAAGACAATGTAATTTCTCCAGATTTTTAATTAATTAAATGGCTGACGGTATTTTTTAAGAGATTACTAGTTACATTCAATTTTTAAAATATGTTTAACTTGCATTTTATGACATTTGATTGATTTCACATGGTATCTATGTTGTAAATACATATGATATATGTAACTTTGTTGTGGATTAATGGAAATTTTCTACACTGCTCTATTTATCCACTTAGCTCCTAAGTATTATTTATCCAACATCAACAACTAATCAAGTTTTTTTTGTATGTAGCAAAGTTTGCAAATTTCAACTTATGATCTTTAACCAGAAAAGCAAGAAAATAGTAATTTTTTTGATTAATCCAGAAATACGTCGTAAATTTAGAAAACTAAAAATATATTTTTTGAATCCCAATGTAATGGTCACATTTCTTCAAACTGTCAAGTCTAAGCAGACAAGAATATCATCCAATATATTTTAATACCACTCTTAATCTAAATGCATTTCAGGCTCTTAAGTACTGTACATGCCATATTAATACAATAAACTGAATAAACAATTACATAAAATAAAACAAATATCTAAACATCTACATATCTTTACATAACATAATTAGTAAAATTTTCTGTAACCAGTAAACATTGATCTTATTTTTTAAAAATTATACAAACAACTTAAGGTATGCCAGACCATACTTTAAACTGACAATAAATGCAACTGGTGTTATATTTACACATTGACGTTTACACATTTTATTATTGCAATTAGTCCAATTCAAAGTATTTGTATTAGCTAGCATACGATTATTTAAATTTATTTTGCTTCTTTACAGACACACTAAGGTGACATTATTCAACACTTGGCAGATTATTCACCACTTTATTTAGTTGGGACGCTACTTACAAGTTGCGTTTCGGGCATTAGCCCCTCTTCAGCCAACTCAAAAGCACATATCAGAATCAAAATTTAAATTTATATTATTATTATGTTTTGATTTCAAAATGTTCTTAAATTTCTTTTTATAATTGTCAGTTTCTTTGTGTAATTTTTTAATATTTTGTTTATCGATATCAAACAGTTTTCTTCAATGTGTAAATAAAATTGTAGAGCAACTCAAACATCTGATTTTAGAGGATTACTGTACTTAGAAAACAGCAGTAAAGGGTTAACATGAGTTGACTGTGTATTTTATTACTTAAATCAAATTGGTAATTATTGAAAATATAATTGTATTGTTTCCTATTTTATCTGCAGAAAAATCATTTTCAAAAATAAAATTGCTGATTGGAAGTAGTTCTCGATCAATGTGTCGAGAGAATTTCTTCACTTTCAATCTTGTCCATTGAAGAGATATTGCTGCAGTAATGGACTCATTTTTTGCAATTGATGAATTCAGCACTACTAAAAGCAGAAGAACAATTTTGTAGGTGGATTTCTGTACACCTACAAATTTTCTAATTCATTGTAAAACTATCGTACACATTTTTATTAATGTGCTTTACTGTTGTTTCTATATTAAAAATGTTCTTGTTACTAGAGATCTGAATAAGCCTAACCTCTACCTCTATCACTCTTTCAATGAGCCTGAGAAATAAATTTTGCTTAAGTGGCCTCTAGTGAAAATATTTGCATTAAACTTTACTAATTTAAAGTTAAATAAAATCTTATAATTGTTAATTATATACACATATCCTTGGACTTTTTATGTATTTATTACTTTATATATATATATATATATACTTAAGATAAAATTTATAAAAAGCTTATATCAGAAAAGGAATGAAACAAAGTTATAATCATTTCAATGATAAAAATGAATTAGATCTTTTGTCATTGTAAATTTTATTAAACAATGTACTTTAGTTAGTTTTTACAAATCTCAAATCCTGAAATTAAATATACAGTATATCCTACCTCTCTGGTAGATGTTTTGTGCATACTGTAGACAGCTGTTTTGGCTAAACCCAAGGCAGTTTTTAAAAATATCATATCAATTCCTAAAAAATTATCAAATTTCTATGTTAAAAATTATCAAAATTAATATTATAAACTATACTATAAACTATTAATAAAATATGTACCGTATTTACTTGCATATAGGACGAGGTGTGACTTTAAAGATCAAAATAAAGAAAATTACATTTATTAATACAATTCTAATTTTATTTTGTTTAATCACAAATAAAATATCAAACGTAAATGCACACATTGTCTCACAAAAATTACTGGCATTTTAAACTTTAAGGAAAAATCTTGTAAAATCAACAACATAATTTGTTAATGTAAAGCTGGACAATCAAGAACATATTTTTGCCAATTCTTAACAGTCAAATCCCCTCTCCATCGATTACACTTATGAGTTTCTCCAAATTCTGATTTCTGAATAATCATCTGTTTTCACATGGGAATGGATTAAAACTTATATCAGGCTCCTGTGTAATTTTGGAATTTCAATCTGGATTTAATTCAAAAGCTTTGCTTTTCATATTGCTATTCATCTTTACTCCTGACAATATATAAGAACGATTCAAACAACCCAGATAAAATACTTATGTTTTTAAATACAAGAGGGTAAGCATCTGGTAAAAAATGCAAATACACAGTTCACAAAAATTATTTGCAAAAAACGCAAAGAATCTTTTGCTCGTGCGTATAGGATAACCTAGGAATTTGAAGCCGTGATAAATGAATAAAAACATTGTCTTATATGCGATTAAATACAGTAGTTAAATTTTGTATAATTATAAACAAAAGTGAAATTTAATTAATATGATTTTCTCAAAAGCTTTCTTGAATTTATCAAAATATAAATTTACCTTTAGGTAGAAATGCAGCTCTGAATGAGGCAGTTGGGACCTTATCAGAGCTGTAGAACATGCCTCTAGGAGTAAAAAAGTCAAAGGAACTCATGGTTTACATATGGTCCTTTGCAAGATATAGCCTCCCAGAAATAAGCCCATTTGGAATTTTGAAGACCTTCCAAAAAGCAGTAAAATTTAAAAGTGAAAACAAAAAAAATCCGGAACTATTTTTCTAAACAATGCTAAAAATCAACTATTTTCCTTTTTAATGAACAGCTAAAGCTCTGACATGTAATAACAGACAGGGGTCTAATATGGGAGCTGCAAAAAAGTCTAGAAGAGCCACAGTTTGGCCACCATGGCTATATACCATTGTTATACTATTACTACACTATCTCTCACAAAGGGTCGTATGTAGAACATTCTTCCATTCAGTTTTCTACCGCTACAGAATAATCTACAGCTCCAATAAAGTCCCAACTGCCTTGTTCGGAGCTGAATTTCTACCAGTATTTTTATATGTCTACATCAATTATGGCATAACATTTGCATTTGAAAGTTTTGCTCGGAAAACTTAACACAAAGAAATCAAATGAAAGCCGAGTTATTACCTTTCCGTTTTTTTGTACCAAATGGAGGATTCATGACGACCGTATCAAAAACTTTAGACCAGCGCGAATCTGCAAGATGTACCACATCCATCTGAATGAGATCGACGTTTGTCACCTCCAATTTTTCACAATTTGCCAAACACACCGACAATGCTTCGTCATCTACATCCACTCCTATACATATGCTGAAAGGAAAGAGCACCCAATAAGATCAATTAATGTGTTGTATTCAGCATTTATATCAAATAACTTTAGGCTATTTCCTAGCGTGTACTCGAGATAAAAGATGAAATATATTGATTTAAAACGTTTGGCCAAGACTAGGAACTTACTCTGCTCCAAGTAGGGATGCTCCAATCGCTAATATACCACATCCGCATCCGAGATCCGCAACCGCATTGCCCAAACCGGAGGCAGTGTGAATCATATAAAGCATTTTTGCTAAATATAAAAGACGATTGTTAAAAATCAAATTAAAAAAAAATCTACGTACTCCTATTCATCTCTACGGTTAAACTGACAACCTGCTATGTCAGCCGGTGTTGTATATTGTTCCAACTGATATTTCGATTTATGAAATGTTTCCATCTGCTGCAATACGCTTTTTAATTCTTTAAGCTTCATGTTTATAAGAAAATAATACAAAATAACCTTTTATAAATCAGCAATTCAAAAAACCTGCATCCTCGACCGATTAAGTGTGACGTCAGCGCAGACTAGCGTAGAAACACAAGAATACAATGAAATCACGTGGTCGGATTCTTTTTCCGTACGATTTTATTTTTCGATTCCATTTCTTTTAAAATTAACGGAAAATGTCGTTGGAAAGCGAAAGGATTTGGTCTGTATTAAAGGAAACTGTGACAAAGTTGTACGTCGTTGCTTATTTTAGACGCATACACGGCTACATGAAATTATATTCCCAAGCATGGAGTTTAAATATCGATTTAAACGATATACCAGAAGATATCAGAGTAATTTATGACGAAATTCATAATTATTGGCTAGAAACAGAAGGCGAAATTCATCACTCGATGAGAAATCCCGAGAAAGACAGCGAATTTATTAAAGATATCAGAAAAATATACAGCCAGCTGCCGGTGCATAGCGATTTCATTAAGCGACTGATCGATTCCGCCTCCTCTTTGTCGGATAATTTTGGCAATCTTTATTGTTTTTGTCAGAAATTTCACGCACTAGTCGATTTATTCAAAGAACGGGTTATGAAAACACCGGAGAAGACGGCCGAGGAACGTTGGCAAATGGTTAACTTGAAGGAAAACATCGGAAAATATACAATTGCTATAGAACAGGAAAGGGATAAGTTAGATTACTTATTGGAAGATCTAAATAGGAAATTGAAAGAAACAGAACACGTTCTATGTAGAGTAAAGAGCGAGATAGACTTTGCCGAAAGAGTCGGGCAAGCAGAAATCTTCAGAACAGTCAAGCTAAGTAGAAAAACGATCGACGACATATATACCACCTATTTACTCGAGTGCGAAGAGATCGATGACGAAATTAAATTGATTAATAAGAAATTAGAAGAGTCGAGAACGGCACACAACACAATGGAAGTTCAGCGGAGGAGGAAGAAGCAACTTATGGAGTGTGGTTTAAAAGAAGAAATCGAAAGATTCGACAAAATTATGTTTCAGAAGGAAAGCCAGTGTGCTAGATATCAGAGAGAGATAGATAGGATTAGAAACGATTGCAAGACTATCAATGCCAAAATCGATCCCATTGAAGAGGAGTATCGGATGGTGATCGCAAGAAGAGACGACGAAGCCGCGAATATGAAAAATAAGATGAGAGAGAATGTGGCTGCTATACTTATTCAGACAGCTTCTAAAAATTATTTACAAAGAAAATCCTTCACGAAAAAGAAAACAAAACGTAAAAAAAAGAAGAATCTTTAAGAGTGACTGAAAGAAAAATCTGATAATATGCAATGTATAATAATTCGAATATTTATAAGAAAGAAAATAAAATTTATAAACGTGTTTTTCTAGATACAATATTTTTATTTAAAAGAAATTTTGTTTCAAAATAACGTTAAATGTGTTATTTTTTAAATAATAATAGTTAATTGGCAACACTTAACTTTAGTAGTTGTGTTTCTGTTATTTCTGTAAGTCGGTGTTACGAGGCCATGTTTTCTGTTAATGATAAATCTTCTGTGACGTCTGCGAAGAAAGTTGAGTGTAAGTTTTGTTGCAGGGAGGCGAAATATACTTGTCCTCGCTGTAACTGTAACTATTGTAGTGTTAAGTGTTATAAGTGCAACGAGCACGTGCAATGCAGCGAAGAGTTTTACAAAGCATGGGTGATGACAGAGATGAAAAATAGAAAAGAATGTGCTGATACCAAATTAGAAATGTTAAAAACTTTAAAACGGTTGCATGAAGAAGAAAGAGAAGAAGATGATGATGATGATCTTGAAAATAAAATTAATTTTATTCAAAATTCTGATAACTTAAAAGAGGAAGATCTCTGGAAGTTTCTAACCAAAGATGAAAAAGACAGATTTCAAGAAATAGTTAATAGTGACGAGGTAGAAACTATTTTGCCAGTTTGGAACCCTTGGTGGAATATAAGAAAACCACGCGTTCAAGAGCTATGTTCTAGCGAAGATAGACAGCTAGATATCCAACCGTTAAGTCGGTTAACGTCTCGTCTTCCTTCAGAATGTATAAAATATAATCTGGTAAATGTTGTGTATAGTTATGTTTATGTAGCCAAAAAGTATAATGGTGATTATTGTGATTTTCCTGCAGAGACAGTTGGTGCTATTTTATACCTTTCACCTGTGTTATATACCAATGCAAATTTTAATAATGTAAGCGAGGCAGTACAATACTGTATCCAGAAACTATGCATAGGAAATGGCGACTTCTTTTTGGTACGAGAAGCGGCAGTGGAATTATTAAAAGATGTGTCGTCGATATTCGAAAGTATAGACCCGTGCGTGCCCGAGAAATCCGTGATAAATAGCTTATCGGATGTGATTAAATTATTCAGAGAAGTGAAAAAATGCTCGGGTCATTTCAAAAATAAAAGCAAAGTGTTAATCGAGAAAGAAAAATTAAAAAAATCCATTAAAAAATTGGAATATTTTATTAGCTGGAGTGTGGAGTATAATACATGTTTTCAGCAGCTTATTTCCGAGTTGGAGATAGAATATATATCTTCGGTTGAAAACACATTACCATGTGTTAAAATAGAAAGGAAGAAAACAGCAATAATAGAGGAATTAACATAAATTGTGCATAACTTACTGTTTGAAGATTATATATAATTTATTTTTAGAAATAAGTTTATTAAATTTATTGTATTTGATTTTACAAAGTATCTAAGCTTTACATGCATATGTATATAAATTCTGAAATATAAAATTTTAATAAACAATGCAAAATGTTCTAAAAAAATGTGTGTTTGTACACACACACACAAATAATTGTTCATGCAGTCAATATTTTAAATATAACTTACAAGTGGTAAAGTATCTTTGAACAAACTTTAAAAGTAAAAATTTTATATAGAAAGATTCTAGTCAAAATAACATGGTTTTTATAAAATACTTACATAAATATGCAAACTTAAAAAAAAACATGCAGAAAAAATTTAATAATCACATCCATGCATTTTTGATATCATAGGCATCATACGTAAGAATATATGACAGAGAGCAATGTTACAAGATTTTTATAAAAAAGTAGGCAAAGTATTTTAATATAAAAAGTGCACAAGTTTATTCTCTGTGTTATATATTAATTTAAATTTGTTCACATTAGGATTCCATATGCTATTACTGGTTTAAAATATGGATGTAGTATATTTCACATAGGCTGTATATAGAATTTTGTTTTAATACAAAATGTTCCATTGTATTATAATTCTTGATAGAACAAAATTTAAAATATTTAGAACTTTTGTATGTCCTGTTCTTAATTTCATACACATTCTTAATCATAATTAAGTTGTAAGTTGAAGATAGATGTTTGGTCAAAAATTTTAATAAAACTATTGTCTATCTGTACTAAATAATTTTGTTTCCTTATATATTCTAATTCAATTATTTTGAATTTAGTTATTTGAAAAGAATTCAAATAAAATTAAGATTGTCCAACATACAGTGAATTTATTGGTGTATTTATTTTAATTAATAAAATAACATGTCTGACAGAATTTATCTAATATTTTAAAATAAAAAATATGAATTTATATGTTTTTATTAAACAATAATTTTACTATTCAAGGTTAATCAAGATCAGGAAAAAATATTTAAATGATTGTACTGATAAAATAGTATTTTTCTTCCATAGGAAATAAAAAGGATACCATTAGTTTTAATATATCTTAAACTTATTTCTTTTTAGTACAGTATTAAAAATTGAATTAAAAAAGATATATGACTAAGTAATAATTTTAATTATCTGAATAATAGCTTATTATAACATCACTTGTGTAAATTCTCATATAATTTAATTCATATGATAATGTACTTATTGCAAAATATAATTTTTTGATATTCATCTACTGTTTGCTTTAATAAAAAACTTAATTTGTATGATTTAAATTTTTAATACATTTTCCTTTTTTTTATGAATTTTTCATAAATAACTTTCCCGTGGGGCCGTCCATATATTGGGTGGTTACAAATGAAATGACGTTTTCTAAACTTTAAACTTTCCTACCTTGTAGTTTAATTGTTTTCCATGTAAACAGTGCTGTATGTTTGCAAGTGGAAGAGCACACGTATATGTAAAAAAATGTACACTCATTTATATTGTGAATTCCACATGTTTAAAGAGTACTTTTTCTGACGGTATGAAAAAACGGAAATTGAATAATTTTCTTTTACGAGTATAAGCAGAGACATAATGCAGCCGAAGCAATCCGAAATACCAATAAAACTTTTGGTAAGTTTTATTGGTATTTCGGATGATATATTTAAACTGTGAGTGAGTAAGCCACATGCATTGGTACAAAAAATTTCATTCCGGGAATACAAATCTCGAAAATCAGAATTGAAGAACATCACTTGACTGTCAGGGAAATTGCATTAATCAACCATTCTTCGACATCTAAACATGTTAGGGAGTTTCTTAACATTCCCTATCGATTAAAATTATTTAGCAGTAAATTTTCTGGCTTTGGCCGAAGCAAATTTTTTGGTCACGTCACTAAAATTTGTTTGCTTAAGCCCTGGTCACACTATGCGATTTCTAGCCGCGCAGGCGACTGCAACTGCAACAAGCGCGAGTCGCGCGCGTCTTCTCGTGGTCACACATTGTTTGTTGACGTTGCAACTCGGAAACACGTGGCCCTATAATAAACCAATAAAATTACAGTAGCTTGTTTTTGACTACTTTCGTGAGTTTGCCGATATTTTACGTTCTACTTCAGAGTATTTACGGAATTTTAGCCACTTTTCTTATTAAAATAGCAAGCAGTTCCTTTTCTGGAATGAATAAAAGAAAAAAGGCGATTATTTTAATAGAGCTGGCGAAAATACATGAAAAGATAAAATCTTCGATAAAACGAAGAATTAAAATCCCACAGGTATTCGTGAGCCTGAATAAGCTCGATCAATCTCGATTCTGTAAAAGTATTAATCCTCTGACTATCCGCCATGATGATGAACTATTTTCAATGTTGTCACTGTATGACGTGGCATAAAGGCGTTTGTTGATTGGATGCGCGTTTGCAATCGTCGCGAGTAGAACAAACTTTTTGTTTCTAGTTGCGATTGCAGTCGCGCCGGTTTTCGAGGGGGGATTACTAGTTAACGGGAACAGCCGTCGCGGTTGCAGTCGCCTGCGCGACTGGAAATCGCATAGTGTGACCAGGGCTGACCATTGGCAAACAAACCCTGAAGATTTTTATTGTAAATCGCACTCAGAATTCCAATTGGGCTTTTTTCAGTGCCGAAAACTGTCAAATAAATATTCTTAAGGTAAACTATTTCATGGATTAAGTCTTCTGTCAGATCACTGTCATACGGTTTTATAAGTTTTGCTACTTTTTAGGAAAGTTCGCTTTCAACTAAGTTTTGGAAATTTAAAATTGGTGAGAATGACTCACATACACAGTTGCAGCTTCAAATCTTGTTTTTAAATCGTGCATAATAAAATCCAATATTGGATACACCACAGAAATTACAAATTCTTGTTCAGCTTCATTAGACGTTTTTCTTGTTTCGGGAAACTGAGGCTGCATTCCTGCTGCTTTAAGCAACTACTTTTGCCTCCTGAATCACAATTTCCCACGTGTCACGTTTTTTATACTTTTATGATTGTTATATTAATTAATTAATTAAGTTAATAATAGTAGCTTAGATTATTAATTACACTATATCAAGAATTAAATATTCCAATTAAATTGAGCTCAATGCGAGATTCCACAAGAAAAACCAAGCAAAGTAAAAAATATAAGCTGGCCATCTTCATACCGGACCCCATGACTACGGTCCGTGCAGTCACTACCATGTGGGGGCCATGAACTTGGATCTCTATATGTTAAATACATTTGTATATTGTATTCGTAAATCGTAATTTGTTAGAAATTGTTTATTCTGCATTAATAAGGGTAATAAATTTGAATAGATACTTACCGAAGAAGAAATGGCATGAAATATATCTTACAGAATAGTTTCAACGAATTTAAGATACTGTACATATTACAGGAACTGAAACCGATGAAATTCGACAATCCGATTAATGGGCGCTAATAAATACAACAATAATCAAATACTTGAATTTAAATAAAGAAAAAATCAATGTATCTGACGGGTGGACCAAAATATTTAATGAATGCACGAAAAGGATCTTGAATTCTAACAATTTGATAAAATTAGTTTGTTTTTCGGGAACTATAGCCGCTGAGAGATATTTTCACTCATGAATTCCCTGAAGTCGAAATTAAATATTAATACTGTAATGCCCATCCTGTATTTAATAGCTGCGGCTCTCCTGTCCCGTTTTGGCATCAAGTAACTTTAGTCAGCTTACTAATGTTGTATATTGCCCGTCAATTCACTTACAAGTTAGAAAGTGGAGCTGCTGGTATTTAATTAATACAGTATAATAAACTGTTATTACATATATAAAAAAGATATAGGCTATAAAATGCATTTATAATCATGCACTTCACAGTGAGCATTTTGTTTCAGAAAGTGTGAAATTTATCATGTTTTAGCAAAGTCTTATCTAGTATTCCTAAATCAATAGCCTACTGTCCAATCAGTTGCAGCAAAGCCAACAAGCATACTCCAACAACTTTCGTGTATTGCTACTGCTGTAAGGCAACAAAAATTAATTGCGATACTAAAAATCTAATTTTTCATGGGTGATCTGTCCTGGCCAGATGACGGGGGCCACATCCTTTCCGCCTGGCCGACCCATTATGGGTTTGGTTGGGAGTTGCCAGAGTTTTCCGGGATTGTCCGAAATTTTTTTTTGGCTACCATCCAGCGGCAGGAGGACTTTACTTTAAAAGCTGTTCCTATTTAAATAACCCATATCTGCCCGATTAAATTAAACTACTATTCGGTCCTGAAAACTATCCTCCCGCAAAATGTGTCGGGAGTATATTCGATCTATTTCACAATTTCAAATACAGTATTTGATTCTGTTTTGAATCCCGCTAAGGTATTGTACACGATGTGAAAAATTCCCATTAAATGTACGCAAAGGACGTTATAAAATCAAGTTAATCTGTAAGCAATTGATGCACTTCGTACCACACGCTGTAATTTGGCGGGAAACGCTGTGAATAATTGTGCTAATTTCACGCCGTTTATAGCCATAATTATAAACATCAGACAAATATTATATTTTGAATTATGTTAAAATTATAAGTAATAATTAAACCGATATAGTAGAATAAAAACAAAAGAAAATCCGTTCGAATCTTGTTATAATGTTACAAGGGGGCGACTTCAACGTTTTCTAAAATGTCGTCTCCGGAGGAAAACATGGCAGCCGTTATGGAGTTGTTCAACACGGCTCAAGAGACTTGCAAGGTGAACGAAAACGAAGGAATCGAATTACACAAACGAATTGGTAACTACGCATTTAACCAATGTTAAAATTTTCTAATATATAGATTTAATACTTATCGACCTATTCAGTTTTTGTGTGTTTAGGGTTAAAGAAGAATGCTGACTCATTTTCCATCAAACTAGATTTTTATCTTTATATATTTAAATTCATTTAATTATAATTAAGTAGCTAAACAGTTTAAAATATAACAATATTTTTCAAACTGTTATTTATATTATTATTCTGGTTATAAAGAAAAACAGTGAAATTGATTGTGTTATTTGTTGCTTCTGTCTAATTAATCAGTTTCAATAAAACACACGTTTTTTTCATTAATAGCACTGCAAATAATAAACAATTAACACTATAACTTAAACTACATAATTTTTTAAACAGTAATTATTACATTATATACATTAAAGAATGTAAATGTATGCTGCTGTGATGAATAATGGTAGAATTACTGAAGAAATTATAAATTGATTACTTTGATTTTTCAGTGTCTGTTAATTAACATCGTGATGTAAAACTTTATTATTTGTACGTGTAATTAGTATTATTACAGACTTTAACTGTTTTTCTTGTCGAAATTAGACAATAAATACAGAAACAAAACAATAGATTCTATAAGTCTGCATGAAAATATTTTCACGCAAAATTACACCGGTAACAGGTTCCGTATTTAGTATTTCATCCCCGGTGTCAGAGTGAAGTTTAATTTGCTTATTTTCAATTGAGATGCATGCGTTTAGAATTTGGCATTTTGGTAGATCCGGAATGTCAAATTACCGAAAGTCGAACGTTTTATATCTTGTCAAAAATGGATAGTCGGTTAATTGGAGTAAAAATTGATCAGATAAATATTTAAATTTAGTGCTTTCGAATATATATGTAAGATTGATTTTACGTAAGTCGATGTCCCGAGGAGGATCCTTATCTGACCGGTTGAGTAAACCGAAACGATAAAGAAAAATAACTTAACAATAGAAGTTTTTCTTATTAGAATGCTGCAATATTAGTTCTTGATAAAAGGTTATATTATTGAGATTAAAATGAGTATTATTACATAGTATTAATTAAAGTAGACTCCTATGATTAATTAATGGATGGATCGACAAACAGAAAAACTGACTAACGGAATAGGCCCTGTATAGCCAAATATTTTTGACTAATGGAAAAATCTCTGACTACCAGACTTGTGACAGAAAATCCTAACGTGTATTCTTCACTGTTCCTAATGTAATGAAACTTGTTTTTGATTACTCTTTGTACAAGTGGTGCTTCGGCCGATTAGATTCGTGTGACAAAATTTGTGTGGCTATTTATTGTCCTTTGTATAAAATGTCAAATATAGTACATCACACCTGTATTTATATTATGTGTAAGATTTTGTGACATTTTTTACATTTGTGAGATTTACATTTTAACAGTATTTTCTACTTGTTGATGCATTTCTATGGGTGTAGAATAGATTATATCGTTTACATGATAAAAATGGTTTGACTTAATTATCTCTATTCAAAATGAAATAATTCCATTAAGCAAGGGGGTCCATTGTATTGTTAGCAAGTTAATAAAAAATGGTTTACATTTGTACTTTATTATTTTATATGATACATATATACTAAATGTAAACAAATTACATTGGTTTACATTTGGTAAGAATTAAAAGTAGAGAGAGCTTTAAAATTAAATTACTGAAATAAAAGTACAGTATAAATATGAATGAATAGGGGGAAAAAACAATATTGAAATTCACATTTCATTAAAACTGACAAAAAAATTTTTAAGTAATTAATCTTACAGGGAAAAAATTGGTTTGTTTTATTTGGTAGATGGAATCCTTTTCATTTTGTTTCTGTTCTCAATAATAGTTAAAGCCTGAAAAATGGTATTATTACATTCTATAATGAGCAAATAAACCTGAATAATATGCAATGCTTTAAGGACATTAGTTTTGGTTACCTTCAGAGTTTATATATCATTAACTTCCATTTTTCTACAGTAATATATTATTTTTAATGCTAATGTTTCTGGATGTATTTAATGTCCCACTTCAGACAACCATGAATGGAATTACATAACTCAAATTCAAAAAAAGAATATACATTCCAAAGGCTTAAACTTAATATACACACAAGAAAATGGTCATATGGATTTTTATAAGAGAGATTCAGTTGTATGTGGAACAGTTGTTCATTGATGTTTTAAAATTTCTTTTCCTTGAATTTATTTTAGTCACCAGGAAAAAAAATTTTGAGAACTGCTGATCTACCAGATGAGATGAATGAAATTTCAAGTGTAACAAGCCAAACAATATTTTTTAGTGAAAAATGAAGATACAGCTGTCTACATTATCCAAGATGTACAATACAATTGACTATACAAGATGTACAATATAATTGACTATACAAGAAGAAGAATGGTTTGTTAACCAAAATCTATTAGATCTTTTACTAACCTAGTTATCTTAGTGAAAGATCTGATAGATTTTGGTTAACAAACCATTATTTTATTATACACACAACTATACTTTTATCTGAATAGTTGCATTAAGATATCCTTTAGTTTGACTATGAAGTCATAAGAATTATTTCTCCACAGTTAAACTATGGCAAGTTTTTTTTATTTATTAAACCACTCATAAACCTTTACCAGCAAAATTATCATCAAATGTTTTTGACTCTAAGCAGCCATTTTCAGGATACAACAAAAAAGAATAGAACAAATGGAATTTGAATAAAATATAGGAAAATATTATAACAAAAATTACAAATAAAATAAAAGGAACACAAAGGATATATTGCCAAATGAAGACAGATTATACAGTAGAGTCCCACAAACTTGACAGTGTGGACTGAGAACATGAAAAGTTACTAAAAATGATAAATTTTTTTTTTTTTTTTTTTGTTGACATAGTGATGATTCTAGTCTAAATGTAGAATTTTTGTAAAGGTATTGTGTGCAAATTTGTATATGTATTAACCACATGCCACTAGTGACTATTTCTATTTACAGTTCAATTTTAGTTTTAAAAAATTGGCTATTTGGTGGCTACTTTCAAGTTAGTGACATTCTCATTGTGGCATTTTTCAGTGGCACCTTGGAAAAAGGGTTATATTCTTCGTTAATAAGTGGAATTATTGCTACTATTTAGTGTTGTCAGTGCAGAATGATAATTTATTTGATCATAATGTTAAGTTATAGAGGTAAAACTTAGATTACATGTTGTCATATCATTCAAATAAAAAAATAAGTTTTATCGAATATCAAGTTATCAAAAGTCAAGTTTCTGGGACTCTACTGTACTATCTAAGTTAATGTGTCTACTATATTTATACAAATACTTAAGTACAGTATGTATTTTCAGACTGAGGAAAGGCACTAAGTGTTTGTTTAAATATAGTAAAGGCGTTAACTTAGATAGCATACTCTGACTTCATTTAGCAATGTGGCTTGTAGTTACACTTAATGTATATTTTATTTTTTATGCATTTTTTTCTTGTGACATTCTTGATGCTTTTATTTTTATCTTATTTTATTTGTATTTTTGTCACGATCTTGTACTAAATTAGAGTTAATTCAAATTCCATACATTTCATTCTACATTATATTCTATTCTTTTTTATTTTTTCGTTGTATCCTGAAAATGGCTGCTTAGACAGCTAAGAACATTAGATTAATAAATAATTTTGCTGGTAAAGGTTTAAGAGTGATTTAATGATATATCAAATACCGGTTTGTGAAACAAATTGATTTTTTTTTATTAGTCACTGGAAAACCAGTTTAAATTGACATAGGTTGTATTTAAAGCAAAGTTATTAAATCATAATTTGTTAGGCTGTCAACTTACCTGTAGTAAAAAAGCATTAACATACAGTAGGTAGCCAGGATGCAATGAATGTGTCAACTTATATGGTAGTGTTGAGTTACCTGAAATAAATTTACATTTTTGTCTAGGGAACTTGTCAAGGAACTCAGAAAACAGTTGACTTAATTGAAGTATTGACTTATTATAAATTATCGGTATATCTATATATATATATAAATGGACATGTATGTCCCTATATCTCACTTTTTCGCCAAAACTACACATCGCACGTGAATGGTGTTGTATGTGGTGGGGTAGCCCCAAGTCTCCATTCGTGCATAGGGGTGGTTGCGTCTTGATAGCTATAAGGGTGCGGGAGATATGAGGCTGAAAGTGGTTGAAAGTGGCTTTCTATTTCGAATGTTTTGTTCGAATTTGTTCGAATTAAATTCGAACATAAAATTCGAATATTGGTTCGATTATAGAACGATTGTAAACGTTCCAGAAACGTTGAAAATAGTTCGTTTGACTAAACGTAAAAATTCTCTAATTAGTCTGGAAACGGGGGACCTAATTCTTGCATTTTGTGAAAACGGGTAAGATTAGCTATAATGTAATTATCTTAATCTTCACTATCGTTACTTTTTGCCCAGCGAAGCGGGTCCTTGCAGCTAGATTCTAGATTACTTAGAAAAACAGTCTTTTATATATATATATAAAACTATACTATTACATACAAATAAAAACCCATCGAAGCAGGATCTTGCAGCTAGTATATTATATAAATAATTTCATAAATCTGATAAACACTGAAAACTTAACTTAATCTAAATCATATAATGGAATCAGATGATTCTGATCATAAAAATTCTTAAATTTTTAATTTTGTTTTCATAAAGTTATAAATTCTTAAATCTGTAAAACTTTGCTGATTTTGATCAACTCACTTTATTCTGCTTTGCATATATTTATGAAATTATTGTTGAAAGATTTATTTACAGTAGAATGTCGATTATGTAAATGCCAATCAACCAAAATGTTGGTTAACTGAAAGCATTCCAGTCGGACTGTGTTGTGCTGAATCGAACGTTTTTGATACAGTAGTGTCTCGAAAACTCTGCTTAATGTGGACCGAAGGGTGGCTGAGTTTGTGAAAATGCCGGGTTATCGGGAATGGGGTTAAAAAAATAAGTATGAGTGTTTCCTCAGA